AGAGAATCACTGCGGGGTTGCACTCTGCTGTGCAAACTAGACTTATGCAGTTTTCGCGTACTCTTTAATTTGTCTGTGTTTATTTTAAAGCCTGAACAGAATAGCTGTACACATTCAAGCTTCTATTTACTATCTTTAAATCCTACTAAAATTTCTGCAACAAAAAGAATATATCCATGTATTTAACTAAAAAGAAATCAAAGAGGCCATAAATGTAGTTTAGGTTCCAATTTTTAAAGTCCCTATTTTCAAGTCTTTTAAGTCTTCCAATGATTACATCACCATTGCTATTAATTCTTAAACCAGTCAAACAAAGAGACAATGGCTTCCCCTCAGGGAAGACTAATAAAACATATTCCTTTCAGCATCCAAAGATGCCAAAGAAAGCAGAGGAAGACCTAAGCTAGGTGAACCCTAAGATCTCACAGCAACCAGATATAATGAAGCCCCTAGATGCCCACCTCTTTCTCAGCCTTCTTGATTCAGTCAGGACTGAGCTCGTTTGTACCCTAACAGATAACGCGTAGATCTAGTGGTGTATGTCTTATCTACCCATGCTACTCAAAGTAATGACACATATGCTCTTTAGCCATAGAGATGTTTAATCCTTTCTGACTTTGCACTCTCAGTCATAAGGTCCTTTGCAGAGGCCAGTCATGACAGATCAACCATTTCCTCAAAAACTCTTACAAGTTTTTTTCAAGCAGGATCTGCAGAGCTGCTGCTTCAGTTTCTATACCGTGAGGAACCCTCTGTCACTACTTCATTTGCCTCCTTTCAGGAAAGGTAAAATACAGATTCCAGTTGGCATTCATGTATAACTGATGACAATGAACTCCACAGTCCTTTTATACCTACATACGTATATGCATATATATGTGTGTATATATGTGTATACACACACATTTTAAAATCTTCTTTTCTTAAAATGCATCTATGCTCAATTTCATTAAGTGTTGAATTCTAAGACAGAGAGAACAAGAATATCCAGATTACTTTTCTTTTCTTAGTCATCTCTACTTTTTGATACATCTCCCCAGTTTGTTCCAAACCTTTTTCAGATGTATTTTTAATCTCTCCAATAGCAAGCAGCCCTCTTCTTCACAGCCCCCCCTTTTTTTTTTTTATACAGAGAACAGAACTCAGCATTGCAATTGCACATGCGAACAAGGCCTTATATCAAGAAAAAAAGAGAAGAACACTGAACAACAGATATGCTTACTACACATCTGACAAAAGCCAAAGCTGGCAGAGCACACCGTGTAACATCCCAAAGTCTTATAAGAATTGTTACCACTATTACTCTTTAGACCACATGCCACAAGCCTCATTTTTCTGCCCACATTCTCTACATTTTCCTTTCTCACACTAATAACTCTTAAACATTTTGGCTATTTGATGCTGGAAAACTGTCACTTGGATGGCAGCGACAAAGGCTGGATTAGCCAGTCACAGCAGTAACAAAGAAATCTGATGAGTGGGCTGTGGTGTCCAGCAGGACCCGCATTTCATAACAAGCTCAAAACATCTATCAATTCATTTAAATCCATTAACTTCCCATGGACATTTTTAGAAGTTTCAGCAAGTAGACACTTTGGTAGTTCTCTGGCAGGCAGCATAAAGACCAAATTACATTAGAGAAGTTATCCTTCCCTAAGGAAATACTTCTGTTTTCTAAGAAATCCCAGGAGTCACATTTAAAGCCATAATTAATATCAGGCTGCATTCAGCACCTGTAGCTTGTTTACTAAATCAGTATAAAAAAAAGGCTTACCTATTGCTTTGAAACTGTCTTCCAATCAGTTTAAAGTTCATATCCATTTTAAGTTTCTGATTAAGCTTTCTTAAGGGAATTAGTAGTTACATATTTTCTCTTTTAATTACTAACAGCAGTCTTTACACTAAAGGAAAGTTCTTGTATCAAGTCTTGTATCAAAACTTGGGCAGTGGAATCAAGGTGGAAAACATATTCAAAATAGAAGTATTTCACACAATAGGAAATAGAAGCTGGAAATTGTCAGTACTGCTTGTTCAAAATATGTGCTCTCCAAATATTCAAGCTTCAGCTGCAGTATCCCACACACATCACACAGATACACACCCACACAGAGATATAGGCCCTTCTTTAAAGGGCATTAATTACTATGGCAACTACAGTCACTGACATATGCAGTCACATTTATTTTACCATTACTGGTACACCCCTATAAATCCCATGACATTTGCAAATGTACATCATAATCCAATTTTATTCTAATACAGTCTCTTTATATATTAATTTAGCTTAAACTGCATTGTTATTGAATGTGTCACAGAAAAATTTTATGAAGATTTATGCCCAAAATTTTAGATCTTCAAAAGTAATTTCACGAGGCTGGAATATATACACTTAAAAAATATATGAACACATGCCTCACTGTCCATCTGCATGGTATGTTCTATATCAAACACTAGTTAAAAATTCTAGTCTGGAATATATAAACAACCAAACATGTATTATTTTTGTAACATCCATCTGACTTCTGAAACATTTTGATAAACAGGCGTGCCAATGTATTAAGATTAATACACAGAAACATAAGCAACAATTCAATTTTGCGTTTTATATGTCATAGTGATAATTCTACAGTACTTGGAGTTGATATTATAATTACTGTGTGCGTACATAAGTACATACATACACACAAGTTTTTGGTTTAAGTTTAATTTTGCACTGTTCAGGGCACAGTATAGACAATTATGAAGTAGCTTGATTTTTTTTGTTTGTTTGTTTTTATCATCACTCCCTAGAGCTACCGAAATCTCTCTTTAACACCACCCACCACTCCCACACCAGCTCTGTCTCAGGCTCCCTTTCTCTTTGTTAATCTTTTGCCCCAGCCTTCCTCCTCCTCAGTTAATACTCTCCTTGCTGGCCTGTCCCTGTTTTCTTCTAACTTCCAGACTCCTCCACTTGTGTATCTTAATCTCAGCAGACAATTTGTTTCAGTGCAGTCATTTCCCCCATTGTGGTCGGAATATGAGTCTTTATGTATTCAAATAGCTATTAGCTAGACTTGTTCTTTAGAATTCCTTTTTTCCCTTTGATGACAGCATAGGACAGGGGAGTGATGCTGCTTCTTTTCCTTTCAAAACCTGGTCTACTTTCAGGACTACTGAGCCCTGATATCTGTACTGAGGAACGCATGCACATGCTTTGGCCACGCTCATATCAAAGAGGTGCTCTCAAAGCCTGAGAGATTTTAGTAGCTAAAAATGCAGACATTTCTATCCAAATAAATTGGTATTTTTCAGGGGCTTTGCTGATCTGCACAAATTTGATAGTTCTCCATAGGGTAAATAAAATATATATAGTGGATAAAACCCATCTTCTTAACAGATTTTCAGACCTAGCACCAAATTATGAGCATTCAAGCATTTCATTTAAAATATCCAAAGGATTTAAGCAAAGCAGGATAACTTTTGCTAAGCATTTACTCAGTTGCCATTGAACTGAGTAAACATTTTATTAAAAAGAATTTCAGCCTGAGGAAGACAGCATACATAAAAAGTTTCAGCCTGAACAGAAAGTTTACGTGCCCTTGAAAATGGAAGTGGCTAATTTTCAACTGGGAGTACAAAGAAATCTCCTTAACACACAGAACGACCATCTCTTTCTCAGCAACATTTCCTTTGGAGATGTAAAAGATACACAAAATTGAAATATTAGAAATTAGGTTAAAATATAAGTTACTGCAATTCAACTTACCGAACGTTTTCTGGTCTCAGTTTGTCTAATACCATCTCTATTAAATCAGGCCTGAATTCTTCAAGCAAATATTCAGCAGCCAACACTTCTTCTATAGGATAATACTAAAACACATAATGCAGAAATATGTAGATAAATTAAACAACAAAAACTAAACAGTAAAAAATCCTACTGAAATAATCTAAACAAGATAAAGTAGTACTCTGATAATGCAGTTTATAATTTTCCAATTTTTGGTACTTTTATATATGAGCATTCTTTTGTCTTAAGTATTGCATGCTTCAATATAAAGTCATACACCTCTCAGTACTGATTCACAGAAACAAGAGTAAAAATAACATGGTAAATGCTGACCCCTGGAGGACATTTTTAAAGATAAAAGAATGTCAATTAGTCACAACAGTGCATCTGGGAAAAAAAACAAAAGGGAATACCCTCAATATCTAATTCACTAAAAAAAAAAAAAAAAAAAAAACTTTTTACAGTATTTTAGAGCTAAGTACATATCATTTATGTAAAAGTTCAATATAGATTCAGTCATATTTATTTAGGGTTCCAATTATTGTGAAATTTTCTAGCAAATCTTCAATGTGTGCAACATAGTGTAGAAGCTTCAGGGCAGAAGCTACAAATAGCCAGGCTAAAACTAAGATTTAAAGTAGAAAAGAGAGTTATCTAAGGGATTTCAGCAAATCATGTCAACTGCATGCTCTCACTATCATCAGCACACTCCAGTAACAAAAAGGGCTTGTAAGAACTCTTAACGGAGAACACAACTACCGACTTCCTGCCTCTCAAATGAGGTGTCCTCAATGCCTCACTGTGGCAGGCAGCCTTGGACCATCCTTACACCTTTTCCTTGAAATTGTTAGTGCCTCTTATTTAATTTTACTTGCAAGAGACCCAAACGGTACAGTTCATCAAAGTGGAAAAAAACAGATGTTGAGTTCTGTTCCATTTCTTGAATAGTAGTCAAACTATAAAATGTCAAATCAGATTTAGCTTTAAATGCATAGACCATGCTTCTCTCTAGTGGCATTTATAATTCTATTGTATTCTCCTATCAGCAACTGTCATTTCTAGAAACACGTTCTTACATTCACTTTAAGAGGTGTTTGGATTATTTTAAAGAGCTATGTGCATACAGAGATGTCAGTGAGCTAGTTATTATACATCTGAAAAAAATATGCATATATACAATGAAATTTTAAGACAAGGTACCTGGCAATTTGAGGGAAGTCAATTAGAATTTGTGTGAAAATGATTAGTATTAATGACTTTGGAGGCCCTTTTATATGAAGGTAAAATACCAGCTAAGCACAGGGTAGCAGTGTACCATACTGCTGCTGGTTTAAACCAGTTTTGGTTTTAAAATCAAAATTATTATAAAGGGGTGTTTGGATTTCACATTATCACATTATATATAAAATTGTAATGGAACCGATTCCAGGAGACATAGTAGCTAAAATCAAGCATTTTTTTGAAAAAAAAAATGAAAAAAGGACCAAATCATTGTCATTAAACAAAATCTCATGTGAATGCTAATAACCTATCAAATAGACCAGAAAAGAAAATTTGAAAAGCCTAGTTTGAAAGATTCCCAATACACCAAAGATCTCTCACTTAACTACATTCAGAACATAAAAGACTAAGCAATTTGAAAGGGAGATTTTAAAAAAATCTCTAATTTCTATTTTGTCTTAAGTAACACTGAAATAAACAGATGAAAGAGCAACTTCAGATACTGCAAAATCAGTTCTACCAAGCATGGAATTATAAAACAGTAAAGAGGGAAGGAAATGTGACCTGTAGGCTGCCAATGTCAAGAGCTCATGAAACATGACTTTAGCTTCCTAACCTCAAGAAGTGCAAAGCAGCTTTACAAATGCCCGTATTTATTCACAGCAAAGAACTTAAACACACTGCTAAATGACTAACATATTGTCCAAAAAGTCACTCACATGCAACATTCCTCCAAGTTTCGACGTATAACCTCTTGGTCGTTCTTTATCTTTAAATCTGAAAGCCACAGCATTTAGATCCTATGAAACAACACAGCAAGAGGTGAAAAAATATATATATATATTTGATGTTTAAGGCTACTTACTACTAATAATACTTAGCAACATCTAAGGCTACTTAACTTCTTTCTACTATATAAGTAGGAAATTGTTTTTTATGCATTTTATAGAAGTATTCGTTCTAGCACACAGCACATGAGCAACTTGAGACAGTATCACAATGTGAAGCATTAAGCATGCTTAGCACTTCAGCATGCTAAAGTCCTATGGTGAAAATACAGATGATGGTCTTTCAAGTCATGGTCATAGTAAGAGACTTGTAGCATAGCTTGTATTTTCAGATTTATTTGTAATCTGAAAACACCTTGATGTTACCAAAAGACAGACAATGAACATCCCACTGCAAGACTATTAAGGAATTGAAGCCTTTCTCTTTTGCCTTTCTATTCCTTTCATTTAGCCAGCCAAAAAATAAGCTTAGAGGCAAAAAAAGCATGTTTCTTTTTGCTGTCTTTAGCCACAGAAATAGAAACACATAGAACACATATTCTTAGAATACAGCTGCATGGGTGACAAATAGATATAAGCCTACGAGGCCAATGAAAGAGACAGTCCCTTCTTCCTGTAAAATTATGCAGCAAGTCTGGTCAATTCAACAATTCAGAGGAAAATTAACTCAAAAAAAATTAATTTTCAATCAGTTTGCCAACTTTTATAATTCACTTCACAGTCTGAGAAGTGTTAGGGCTAACGCGAGGAAGACACAGATACAAGGCAGAGGATGAAACTACCTCTTTCAGTGATAATGCAATCTTAAATTTGCTCATGAGGACACTGGAATTCTCTTAGAGAGTAAAGAGATTTCCTTCACAGGTATACAACATCAAAATATAAGGAATAAACTTGCATCTATAGAACTTCTAATTTTGGACAGAAGAGACATAATAGTGTTCACAAAGGAACACCTATGATAGAATCATAAGCATAAAAATTCTTTACCCAAGTATCTCTAGTGAATCAATGAGTGTATATATACACGTGAATATATATGTATATTGTTTTTATTGCACACTGTCATGGAGAATTTCAGTACTGTTTAACTCTGATATAGCACTTTTAATTACAGTTAAGCTAACAGTGAAGCCTACAGCTGATGTACTTTTTACCTCTCTAAAATAAGTCAGATAACTGGTTATTAACATCCTACTGCCTTTACAATCTCAACTCTAAGGCTTGGCACATGAATCACTGTACCTTGCACTCTTGGAAAACCCATTCTTGAGGTCCTTCTGTGCGTAATTTTTGAATATATTGAAACATGTGCAAAATAATATCTTCAACGTGCACTGAAAAAAAAAAAAAGATGCTAGCTTAATAATTTACTCAGTCCTGCAAGCAGAAATCCTGATGAAAACAGGTATGAAAGTTGGCAATTTTAACTAGATCCTGAAACATCCTGTACATATACAGTCCCACCAACAAAGTTAAAGTGATCATTCACAGGATCTAAGTAAGTTTCCAGGTTCCCAGCTTAACTCAGAAAACTGCTTGGAAGATGTCCAATAGTGATGATTAATACAACTGAATCCAAGTTTAAATAGCTTGAATAAACACTTCACGCAGGTATTAAAAAAAATCTTTTAAAGAAAAATTGTTAAGTATTTATGTATTAAAATAGTTTAATACAATTCAAATAAATCAGTTTCTTCTGTCAGATAAGCACACTGAGGGGGATGCAAGCCCAGAAGCCAAAAAGTTAAAATATATTGGTTTTCGAGTATTAATACAATTTTCTTAAATACAAATGCAAATCCCATCAGATCAGGAATGACATGGAATACAGACATAGCACTTCACTTACAAAGTCCTTCCTCCGTCAAGTCCACATTAATGATGAAAAACATGAAACCTCTAGCACCTTCCTTCTGCCCTCCAACGAGAGTATTTACCCAGCCTATGAAATCAAAGAGAAAATGTGTTACATAAGCAAATTTGTAAAGTGTTTCACTGCTTATTTGTATGCTTTGGCAACTTTATATTATTTTTGTTTTGACATTTCTATTACTGTCCACATTTCCCCTTCTCTTCCTTTAACACTGATATCACCAGTGCCAGTTAAGTACTACAGAAGTGAGACCCATGAGGTTTCACTCTCAGCACTCAGTGAAGGGGTGTTAGGAAGAACCTGAGACCATTTGGTCACTAGGCAATTTATTTCTATCTGGAACACTGTAATAAAAAGAACAATAGCCAAGGTTGTTCTGAGTTCTCACAACATGTGCAATGTAGTAAAGTCGTTACCTTTGTAGCACTTACCTTTGGCTTTAAGCTCTGACAAAAGGCTCCCTGGGCCTTCATGCCCAATCAGATGACCAAGATAATGACCAGGGTTTGATTTGTAGTATTTCTGAAGGTCTGGTATAGGAAATGTGACATAAAGATTTCTAATGTCCTTAATAGGTACCACTTTGTAAAGTTGCTGAAAAGAAAACAAGTGAGGAAATCCATAAAACTAACATAAATTCAACCAATCTCACTATTTCATTCTATTCAGGAGCACCTTTATGCACACACATTTTATTACTCATACTAACATACAAAACCACAAATGAAAACTAAGGTATGTAAAAAATAAGGCAATACTTAAACCACTGTTTTCATTTTACAAACCTCAACATGCTGCAAATATTAATTGTTTATTAATTGTAGAAGTCATTATTACTCAGTTGCTTACAGCTTCATCCAATGTGCAATCTTTACTATAACCAAATAATATAATCAGGATGGAGAGGTATGTGGAAAAAAGGCAAAAGAAATATGGAATTTATCAGAGACACTGACACAAAATTACTGAAGTGCAGTTACTGTAATATGAAAAATATCACTTAAGCTACACATTCTCTATACCTACCCGGAGGTGTTCTTCTTGAAAAGGATGTTCAGGGAACTCCGGTATAGGGACATTTTTGTTTTCTACTTCTGAAAATAACTTCACCACTAAACTAGTCAGCTCATCCAAGGATTCTAGGGAATAAATAAATAAATAAATAAAGCTGTCATTAGAAAAAGCATAGAAACTGGAAGAGAAATATCTATTTCACATAGGAATGAGTTCACAGTAGTGAAAATATTTGCAGGTTATCTTCACTAATATTACAATATTTACTTGCAGGAATTGCCCACTACTATGAGCAGAATACATAAAGTGTTTTTTCATTTGACATTCATCTAACACTATTTGTGTTAAATACATTTCTACACATAACAGACAATGCAACTTTAAAATATACATATAATTTTACTCTTCAGCTTATAAAAAACTTGTTAAAAATATCATATATATGATATTACAGTGGATATGCTGTAATAATAAATCTTACTGAGGAGAATCAGGGAGCCTGGAACTGATCCAACAATGAATATACACACAAAACTTCATTTAAGTAAGAACTATTATCATCACCATGTTTACTGGTCTTAAAACGTAGAAGAAATGCTACTTATCATAGAGCACTTACATTCTATGACTGAAATTACACAGGCATGCTTCATCAGTGACCTTCATACTCAGCTTTCTTAGTAGAAAAAGCTAAAAGGACTTTCCTCTGCTAATGAATTTTGTTCTGTTCATATCCATTGAAGCATTATTGTAAAACACCATATAAATACTGCTCTGCTACAGTATTTTCTTCAACAAGCAAACAGTTTTCAGATCACTGTTATTAAGCTTTTGGCAAAGGCTCATGAAATATCATCTTGATTGTAGAAGGTGTTAGGCAACTGGAATTTCATTCAGAAAATGAAGCAAAGGTTCATGACTAAATATGAAATGAGTATAAAATATACAGCTTAATCCTTGGAGGTTCTGGCTAAAGTCATTCTAGAACAAGCTCTGTCAGGTATTCTGAGATTATGTCTGCTAACAGGCTAATCTCTGAAGTAAAACTAGTTAATAATATTAAATTTTTCCTAAATTTCAGTGTTTCCTTTATCCTTTGATAATAAAGAGAACTATTTGTAGTTGAAGCATAGGTTTAAAACATAAAAACAGAACAATAGTCCTAATATCTGAAATCAGAGAAGCATCAGTTTTTATAAGACAAGCATATACAGAATAACTGCAACAGGTGATTTGATATAAACCAATTTGTTTTTAAGAGCATAAGTAACACTCAGAAGTATTATTCAACCAACAGTGTAAAATTATGGGTTCTCACCTCTTCCTAAAACACAAATAGCCATTAAATTTGATGAATAATAAGTAGAATGGAACTTCAATAGCTCTTGTCTTACATCTATTCCTTCTTTGGTTGGTCTAGTTTCCAGAGTTAGTTTGTTCCCTGTAACATAAAATAAAATTTAATGATTTAACTTTTGGATGACATAAACTTTATGTTTATGAATTTACAGATCAAAAAGTATAAATGAGTGAATCTGCTCTGCTCCAGATGGACAGTCATTTTAAAAAGAATTAGCATGCACAATAACAAGCAAATTGGATCAATATCATCTCAGCTTACTACAGCCAATAAATACTGCCGTTCTCAAACTGCATCCTCAATAACCCCCTAGGAAGTTTCGGTCTTCTAAATCAATCCTTTAACTGAGTTATTTCTAAACAATATAATTAAACTCATAAACCCATATAATTAAAATTCAGAAGACAGAAAAGCTTTTTCTTTGGCACATCTGTAGCAGGCTTTTACTCCTATACACACACATCCCTCACAGGAATCACTGTGTGCTCAACTGCCACAAATTATAGCCTGGTACATTAAGACAAACTGAAATAAATAATTACTATTTTCAACATCTTGGTTGTAAACTGTGACTGTTCAGCTCTGGCTTTACAATCAGCTAATCTGTTGCTGCACAGAGGAACAGGACTAGAAGGCAGCAGAACCAAGACAATTGTCCCTAAATGATATATATATATATTAACTGAAGAGATTATTTCTATTATTTCATATAACAGTAGGAACTTGAAGCAGCAAGAAAAATAGATTATACAAAGAACACGCTGTATTCTAATCAACTCCACTTCCCTTTATTACACACAAAAACATACAATCTACAGACCAAATCTGCAAACTCTATCTGCCACCTGTGAAACTAATAAAATGCTGAAGCCAAACAGACCATATGCAGAAGGAAGCAAGGGATGCAGTGAGGAGTGAGGCAACAGAATGTTTAAAGAAAAAAAAAAACAAAATATACTTGTTTAAGGACAAAATGTCCAGATGTTTGGTGATTAGAGACAAATCTTTTCACAAATGCTACAGCCAATTGTGCAGAGAGGCTGTCTGAAGCAGTACATTTCTTTCATTTTAAAGTGTTACGTATAAGTGAATAAACGATTCCTAACAAAGCTTAAAAAGGATCATTAAGGTAGCACACTTAAAATACTCCGCTCCCAACCTATGAACTACAGCAGCTTATCAGATTATACAGTTTTAAGCCTGCAGATAAGCAAAATGCAGGACTTTTAAATACCCCAGCACCTTCACTCCCACAGAATCAATATACATGTTAAACAGCGAAAGGCAAAGCACTGGCTTTAGCACAGTAAATGTGTTATTAGAGTGCTGGAGTACATCAAGAGGCAACTGACACAGGGTACCTAGAGATGTAAGAGAATGGACACCAGACACTGCAGAACTGCTTAGGGAAGTACTGGACACTCTTGAGGGTGAGATGGGTGTGAGATTCAGTGAGATGTGGGAAGGATACCTGGGGACAAAATACTAACAAGAACACTGAAGGATTAAGGTATATTTGTTTCTCTGGATAAACAAAGGGGACTGGAAAGTTTGCTGGCAAAATAGACTCCAGAGCTAAAAAAGAAATCGGATTTGTCACGAAAACCATACCACAGTTGGCACCTCTGAGTAAATAAAAGCCAAAGCTTCCTGTAAAAATCACACTCCAGGTCTTCTCTCCATGAGAACACACCATCTTTCCCAGGTGTAAAACCTTCCTAAATTGTATAAAACTGTTTCTGCAACTTTCATTAATATTTTCTGAATGCTATGGAGCAATTTAGAAATAATCTCTTCAGTTAACAGCAGAAATCATCTTCAAGAATGTAACAAGAATAAATTCTACTCCTCTGAGATTACAGAACACAGGTGAAAATAACTGCTTTGTGTATCAATATGCAATTACAAGCACTGTCTTTCTGAATTAACTTTTGAAGGGAATACAGTTGTAATTTGCCCATTTCAGAGAGCCTCTATTTAACAGAAAACAGTCAACACAGGCTCTTGCAGCTGCTGGTTACCAGCCTTTCACAACATCAAACACAAATGTATTCTTCTTGTTCTGAAGACAGAGGAAGACACCAGCCTTAAACCCATTGCCATCATCCTACAGCACTCAGTATTTGCACTACTATTTTTCCAACTAATGGACCTGGCCACAGATAACATAGCACAAAACATAGTAGATAGCACAAAACATAACTATAGTTTCACAAATAAATCTGCAATTCATGTAGAAAGTGACTGAAGTGTAGACAATTTCAATTAACCTTTGCCAGAATGTCAGAAAATGTGGATTTATTCATACCCATAATATATAATGTCTTTTACATCTACATTTGCTATTCTGTGAATAATACAGCCTGAAAAACTTAGAGCAATAAAATCAAGGTTTGTTCAAGACTAATTTTTCTAGTCATCTTATGCTGTTTTATTTTATGCTTAGGAATTTGTTTTTATATTGTTTTTATATTCACATTCAATGATATCACACTACTTTGCTTACCTTTCCAGTCACTACCTTCTCTTACAGCAATAGTTGTTAGCAAAACAGCACGTGGCTAATGGCTATTCAAACACGGGGTGGTCACTTTGGTGTGCACAAAGACATACAGTCCCAAATCACGACAACTCAAAACCAGGCACTGGAAAATAGCATCCTCTGCAGTACTTATCAGAATCATAAAGGGCCCATAATCACTGTACTGCAAATCTTCTATCCCTCTGTCTCCTATGTTTATGTCCAGCTCTGTTTGGTCTATGATGTGGAAAAAGTAATAAAGCACCACAATAAACATGCACAGAGTGGGGAGAAAAGGGAATTGTTTCAGTCCTGTCTTTATCAATTTCATATAAACAATATTACTATGTACATTAAACAAAACTCCAATGGACGGATAATTGCATTGTGACAAACCTGTTCCAAATTTGCTGAAGGGATGATTGGGGTTTCCAGTAGCCTTCTCCAACTGAAACAACCTCCAGGCATCATTCATTAGATTCTTTTCATGCTCAGAATCAACTGCATTCACTTCCCTGTCTTTGCAGCTCTCATCAAACAAAGGGCACAGGAAAAACTGGGCAAATCTAAACAAAAAATGTTCAATTTTTTTCAAGTCAAGAGCACTGAACATTAAAAAAAAGTTAACATAAAAGCATAAAGCTTAAACCACTTCCTGAAGAGAGCTGAACATATTAATTTGTCAAAGGAAAAAAAAAAGAAACACAGAATTCCTAATCCAAGAATATTTGACTTGCATTCATCATCTATCATCTTTATCGCTTAATTTCTTTATCTATAAACACAGGCAAATAACAGATTCACCAGACAAGATATTACAAGGATCTTACATCATACTTCACACATTCAACACTTCCATGGCTTTGAAGTTTAGTGGAAAGAGGCTCCTCATCTTGCAAATCAAATCAATCTTTTGTCATTCTTCCAGAAACATATATAAGAATTCTACGGTGTAGGCAAGAAAAAACACATTTCTCACCCAGGACAAAATCCTCTCACTTTGCCTCACTGACTACACACCTTTCAATTTAAGTCAATTCCTTTTACTAAAGGAATCCTTTTTCATTTCTAAACTTCATCCTTCATATGCTATGAAGGATGTAAAGATCCTGTGGCAAGCATAATATTTGATCATACACTCAGACTATCCGTACTATGCAAACGCTTGCGAGTACATTCTGCGCCCCAAATACACAATCCTTAGACTTTGAAAATCAGCCTTGATGAATAAGCCTGATGGCTAAAAAACTCTGAAGAAACTTTTTTGTACTGAACATCTAGTGTCAATTTCAACTAAACACAGTGTTCCCAACCTTTTCTTTATTATCACAAAGATTAAAAACTATCAGCAAAAACTTCTATGCAATTTCAACAGCACAAGTATTAGCAAATTAAAAGTCTGCAGGACTGTGTGTTTACCTGTCCAGGGCACCTTCTAGATGCTCATGCGACACGTCGAAGTAGTAGTTGGTGTGCTCGCCGCTGGTGAAGGCGTTGGAGCTCCCTGCGTGCTCGCTGAGGAACTGACTGTACTCGTTCTCTTTGGGGTATTTCTTGGTCCCCAGGAACAGCATATGCTCACAAAAATGGCTAAGCCCCGCAATGTTGGGGGGATCGGACAAGGATCCTGCAGAACGAAAAAATTCGTAACACCTCCATGAAAAGAAATATTAACATACTAAGTTTTCTTTTTTTTTTTAATGTGTTTTATATTACTGTTTGTTGCCTCAGTCAATTAATACCAGTTCTATAGCTGCAAGTAGACACTTGGGCAATTATAGCCAACCAAACTCAAACTCAAAAAAAAAAAAAAAATTAAATGAGTAACTGAACCAATTAGTGTCTCAAGTTGCCTCAGCAAATCAGCCTGCATTGGCTTATAGAGAGACAATTTCTAAATTTAAGTCCATGACTCAATCTGTAATCATCTGGCAGATCACAATGTTCTGACTTCTATACCTTGATTTCTATAACTGCATTTCATTAAAAGGTAGCAATTGCCAGATGAAATTAAGGAGGTTATTTATCCTGTGGTTTATAGGGCTAGGAATAAGCCATAATTACTTGAAAATAAGCAGCTACTGATGATCAGCTAGTAGGTTTGAAGGAACACAGATTAAAAAAAAAGACAATGGTTTGTAGGAATGGGAGCCAGAAACGTGGAAGTTTGAGCCTGGTGTGTGCAATGGGAGAACGGAGGTGAAAAATATTGATACACCCGTGGGAGTCGGACACCACAGCTGCCTACTACTGCCATGGTATCCAAGAAAACTAGTTAGGAGCATCTGAACTAAATAATGACTTGTGACAGCCATCCCCACTGCAAGAGGGGCCAGAGGCTTTCAAGATTACTGTACATCTGCCCTGACACCACTGGCAGCAAATACAGACAGAAAGAAGAAGAGGAAGGATGTGCAGTTAACATGCGCGTGCATCTCATTTTGAGAGCAACTACAAAGCTATATAAGTAAAGAAATATTTAGTGATTTTAGAGACAAAGCGCCTGCCTTTTCCTTCCCTTCCCAATATTTCTGTTTGCACAAATAGGCATCATAGACATGAGGGGGTGTCTCCCTGCACTCACACACTGCCCTTTTCTGCTTATAAACTTGCATACTTGCATAACTTGAAACTTAATGGTTGAAGAAATCTCTCTGCAGACTGAGCTATACTTGAGTAAACACAGAATACATCTAGTGATTTTAATTAGCTCTAATAGCTTCCTATTTGATATGTGAAAATATTAAATAAACTCTAAATTACAGTAAAAGTCCAGGCTGACAATTGGATGCTACATAAAGGTTACCAAAATTTTGCTGTATAGTTCCATCCATATATTTGCAATTAAAATAAAGCAGTTTTTATTAATGATCTAACGAACACAAAATGTATCAAATACCTATGTGTACATCAAGTGCTGCTGAAGACTTATCTGTGGTGGGGTCGCTGATGAGAAGTGCTTTAATGCCATTTGCCAATTCCAGTCCACGATATTCCCGCTTATCTTCAGGTGATTTGATAATTTCATTTGTTATTCTCTTAATAGCTAGACTGTTCATTTTGTTATTTGTCTCCTTCTGAATCCTTAAATTAAAAAAAATATATAATTTTACTTAGGCACTGCTAAAATATGAGTAAGTATATTAGAGAATAAGCTGTGAACAATACAGACAGCAAGAAACTTATTTCCATGTAAAACTCATAAAATACAAAGCTCATGAAATATAAACTTATGAAATATAAAGCTGTGGTTCAAATACTGAGAAACAGTCAGATTAAAGACAAAGTGATAAATGATCACTTATGATAAGTGATATGATAAAACTGAAGATTGCCTAATTGAATCAATTTTCTCTTTCACACTTACAGCAATTTAAAAATTAACTTAGTAAAGGAATACCCCCTTCTTATGATGAAATGAAACGAACACAAGCAAATTAAAGTCTGTATTGCTATCTGGAGTGTACTTTCTGGGTTCAGAAAAGTATTTTATATCTCTGCGCTCGTGGTTATATTATGAATGCTGTAATTTGGCCATCATCTTAGGTAAACAAAAATTTTACTGGATAAAATAGGAAAAAAAAAAAGTGCCTCACATGTTGAGACTCCCACTATTGGTGTAACGACGATGGTATGAGACCTATTTGCTTAACAACAGTGTTTTAAACACTAATAAAGTAAGCCCGAGTCTGAAATTATTATCCCTGGCTATTTAACTTACTGCCAAGTTGAAAGGCAAGCGGCAGGGCAGCCACTTGGCTGTGAGATTGACAAAGAAATTTAAGGCAATCCCAGCAGAGCCAAATGACAGCAATGCTGGGGGCCAAGCACGGTGCGTCCACGTGCCTTATCCCCGTGCAATAAACTGTAACTCTGTTTTACAGCGCCTGGCATGAGGACACAGCACAACTAAGCAGACCTTTTTGTGGTGAGAACATAACCTTTTAAATTGCCAAGTAAATTACTACATGAATCTGGGTTAGTAACTGGTGAATTAATTTCACTTATGAGCAAAACCAGACCCAAGCCTAAGTCTCCAGGCCTAAGAAAATTTTGTACAGTTCTATCAATATCACTTATGTAACCAGGAGTTTCACTCTATTTATTTTCACATTTTCAGGTCATACGGTTCAAGGAATTTCATGGAAGTTTGCCATGTTTTAAGACCGCACAGAACGTAGTACGCAAAGAACTGCACAGTTTTCTACTTATTTACTGTCCTGTGTCTTCAGCCACAGATTTTTACCTAAGAAAGAAAAGGTATTATAAAGAAAAGCACCCAAGTAAGCATTACATGACTGAATACTTCTGAAAGAAGTCATGAAATTACTTTGGAATTTATAAAAGTTATGGAGCATCCTCGTACAAATATAAGACTACAAGCAAACAGGAATTATAACCCCACTAAAACAGAGAAGCCCCAAGTAAAGAAATCATCAAGGAAAATTAAACATCATGGGTGCAGTCAAATGAAATGTTAAACAATTATGGAGATGCTCAACTCCAACTTAAATGCCTGCAACTCTTGTTTAGACCTGCCCTTTATCTACCGCTCTAACCCTGCGCAGAGGCTAATTCTGCTTGGAGCGTGTCTTTGAATCTACAGATTTCACCCTGTTAATGAAACTTATCACTCAGTTTTTAGGTAAAACATTCCAACTCATCAATATACTAGTTCCTTGCTGCAAGATGCATACATACTATTCACTTTTCAAGTTTTTCTGATCATGTCATATGAATTTCTTTGATCCAGCATCTCCTTGTTATTCTAAGCCATATCATTAATTCACAGAACTTTTGTTCAAATGATTCATCTTTCCAACATGATTCATCAAACTATGTCGCTTCTGTGAAATCTTAGGAGATTTCATCTGATGTTTTCTGAAGCTGCACACCTCCATTTCATTTTATTATCATTTCTTATTTTCTGCCTCCTTCAAAGGTTGCCTCAAATTTGGTAGTCAAATTTCAATACAAGAAAAAATACAATTTTCAAAAGTTCAAAGTCAGCAATTAAGCCTTCAAACCAGGACTTAGCCTCATTACCTCTTTCTTGATTGTTATTTCAATGAGAATTATGAATGTAACATTCTCTTCAAATATGTTTGCATGATTAACCCTCCGTTATTTTTCCTGCAAAATAAACTGTCCCACCAGCAAATTCATACCAAAGCAAGAACAGATCAACTATGAAATATGCTTGGAAGGCAATGTGTCAAAAGAAAAAATTAAATACGAAAGACCAAACTCTCTGGCTAAAGTACTGTTCCTGCGAGTGCTATGCTATTATAATACAATGGTTAGGCAAGACAATTTCATATGAGATTGAATATTCATACAAGGGCATTTTCTTAAGGTGTAAATTGCAAGACATAATATCAACATTCCCTTGTATGGCTGCTTTTCTGCACAACTTCAAAGTTCTCTTAGAGAAACTGCTTTATAACAACACCTCACTCCACCCTTTCACACAAGAATTGCAAATCACTACAGCACAAACCACCTTTCAACAACAAAACTGCTTTTCAGAACACACACAAAAGGGGACACAAAGAATTCTGAATTTCTTGTTACAGCTTTTTAAAAAGCAGCCTAATTCCTAGAGGAATGCTCAAAAGCTGCCCTGAAATATCAGTGTTGTATGTATGTATATATGCGTTTGTGTAATATACATGTATATTGCAGGTGCATATATATAAGTGTGTATATACATATATTACGAGTATATATATTACACATGCACACATACATATGTTGCCATACTATCATTACTGCAAGCACTAGATGCAGATGTTCAGTAGCTATGAAATCAATCTACAAACTAGACTAAACTAGACTAAGAAAGAGGCCATTGAAAGAAAGACTTTCATACTACTCTTACAAAATAGAAATGACAGAGAAAGACCCAGTGAAGTAAAAGGCAATAAGAACAGATATAAAGCACTACAATGGCATTGGGGGAATTCCTCCTCTGGCTCAAAAATTGTGGGTGGCAGGTGACTCAAATAGAAGGAAAAGGGAATGAACTTTGAACATGAGCCCTTTGAACTGCAAGCATCATCCCTAATCAATATAGGGAACACTTAATTATTTTTTTTCATTCTCAACTAAAAGTCTTAATCTGTACAAGGAAAAAAAATGCTAAAACAGGTGTTGAATTTTAACCTATAGCACTTTAAAGTAAAATTACATCTGATTCCTTAAGGCCTTATTTCTGTAATGAGTACCAGGCAACTAGTCCCTTGGAATCACTGAGACTCTTTGGGGATTTTAGGTTCCAGCTGAGAAAAGAATATTACAGAGCAGGAGTGGGATTAAGTGGTATATGAGTCTGTCTAACATTTTTAATCTTTCATAGTTATTTTAGTAGACTTACTTTAATTAAAAGTTAGCCCACATAGTCAAACCCTAGTTCGATGTTTGAACAATTAAAGGACCGTATTTTAAACCCAATTAGCACAAACTCCTGAGAGCTGTCTTCAGTGAAATAACACATTAGCTAATAAAAAATGTAGCTCCCAAAAGCACAAACTCAAAAGAGTTTTTCCCTGAACTGGTGGCAAAACAGGCTCTATGAATTTAAGTCAAACGTTAGCACATAGGCATGAGCCAGATCAATGTCTAGAAGCAATGACCACCCCTAAGTAACCAGATGAATGGCAGTTACCAGCTTAGCTATTTTTGATTCCAAATGATCTCAGTTATCTTAAAAATCAGGGTTTCTGGAATACGCTCACTTTAAGTTTACGATCATGTACGCTGGGAACTGTGTTGTTCCTGGTTTTCAGCTCGTGTCGCACACACGCACAAGCGTATGCCTTTTGCATACACTCGATACGTATCGCACCCATGCATTTGCAACACTACTCTTACCCAAGTTCTAACTGTGTCTTTGAAACTACATCTTTGAAACTATGCAGAGGCCGTGATAATGTCCAGTCTCATATTTTGCACCTGCTCCAAGTTCTGTATTTTGTTTATAACCCTTCCACCTCCAAGAGATTGAAACATTTGTTGAGTCAAAACCTCTCTCTGCTCTGACCTGTAAGAGTTCTGTTTCCTGGATTACTTATGAACCTGTCTTGGTTCATGGTTCTTAATAACCTGCACAAAGGAGCTCTTGAGCTGCCAGTGCCTGGAGCAAAGGAAGCGCCGAGGGCTTCAACAGGAGGCCCAGGGCTGCGGAACCACCAGGCTATGGAAACCAGACCAAGTTTCCTCACCTCTTTTACAGGAAAGACAGCACTGAATTGAGCACGTGGGAGGATTTCATGAACTTCTTCAGTTTCAAGTCAGGGACTCTGCAATAACAAAATAAATCTCCATTCTTCTACATGTCTCTGCCCCTGCTCTTTTTGCGCTCACACGGAGCGCTCCTCATGATGGCAGCGCCATTTCACGCATTGTGACATCCCTCTATGGGTAACAGTGATTCTATGGGCAAGTCAACCAGCAATCTACTGCTCTCAGCTTTGATTCACTCACACACTATAATTAAAGCTTAATTTTGGCCTATACAATTAAGGACTTCCCTAAAATATTTTTATGTTACCAAGACCATGAGGTTAAATCAACTCAAGTGATCAGTACATCCAGGCGCTGCCCATAGTTTTTTTACCATTACAGGTTCTCAAGTAGAGAAAGACAGTAAACCCACCTTTAAATATATGGAGATTAAAACAGCTCGCATCCTTCAACATTCATAACCCACAAGAACAATCTTATGTATAGTTGTCAAGAAGACAGTGAATGCATCTAAGATCCCAACGTATTCTTGGATGCTGAATTAAATAAATCTGATTGCATATATGAAATGCATATATGCAAGCAGACAAA